CCGCCAGATCGTCAAGTATCAGCCGTATCTCGCGCCAGTCGTCAAGTATCAGCCGTATCTCGCGTCTCCCCTCCGGTACACAGCACCGTAGTGTGGAGTTGCATTAGGTAACGTGAGATACGGCTCATACTTGCGCATTAGTTTCTGTTATGGATCAGTATCAACAGTCCTGCCAGTAACGTTACTATATTATCAATGCTACGTTAGTTATAGCCTGATATATGATAGCTAACTTCAGAATGTTGTGATGTGAGGTTATCTAACATTCTGTAGCTAACGCCGGTCACTCACCAAGATAGCTGCCCAGTTCTCCACTGGTTCTCCTCACACCACAGCTCAATTTCTCTCCGATGGCCGTTATTTCTTCTAATCCTTGGCTGCTCCTGGTCTCTTGGACGCCTAGCAGGCTCATAATTATAAGGTTGTGGTCCGTCATATGCATTCAAATATTCATGTTCAACTTCTTCTGTGTCGAAACTAGCATTGGGATCCATGTTTATTAATACGTTACACCGGCCGCTCTCCCCCTTGTTTCCCCCATGTTATGTCACACGCGGGAGGTCACGTGCCGAGGCTTTTTTATGCGGAAGTGAAAATGTCCTACAAAAACGACGCCAGATGTCACTGTAGTGTATATTTCTGTATATTTTTTGGAAAATCTAGTGTATTCATCATTTCCTACACATTTATTCACAGGTGTCTTTAACCTGGAAGTTGCTCTTTAAGGGAAAATATAATAAAAATCCTTGAACATTTAATTTCCAAATAACAGGGCCAACATTTCTCCGACTGTTTGCTTCCAGTGGTGACCCACTAGTGAAAGTCAGTGTAACATTCATAAGAAATCCTGTAATGCTCCTTCCTATGGGTGCATAAACACACCAGAGGGGAAATAAGATCACTTTTTTTCCTATTTAATTACTGTATAGAAAAATATAGAAATATATTTTATATATATATTATACAATAGAAAATATGTGTATTTGTTAAAAAACATTATTATTAAATGCTCCATTATTTAATGAGTGCATAATTATAATTTGGTCCCTAAAATCAATGAATAATCGTGATTAATGCTTGTAATCTCAATTTTAATGAAAAAGATATGTGATTATCATGTTGGCTAAAATCATGCAGCCCTAGAGGGGACACATCCAATAGAAGAAATACTAATAATACTAGTACTGTTAAATCAGCACCAAAACAATACTAATAAAGGTTCCTTATTTAACACCTTGATGTTCTCAAAAATTAACTACTTAGTAACGTTACTTACGTTAGGTAATATATGTCCAGAAAAGAACACAACATGGCTTTAACTGTTATGTTAAAATACTTCTTGACAAAAAAATGTTTTACTAAAGCAGAACATAATGGTATTAAACTTAAAAGTCGATTAAAATCTATTGATTTGGCCTGAGAGATCAGAGGAACACATAAAGTCACGACAGAGACACAATTAAATAGCTGCAGTCAGACAACCTTGTATAATCAAAACAACTTAGTTTTAAAACACAAATATAAGCAGATGCTCCCCCACAGGGTTGTAATCTCAAAGCCACGCTGTCGACTCAGACAAAAGAGATCAGTAACATGTATCCACAAACTGCTGTCTGATCCCGGGGTTCCTGGGACGAACATCTTAATAAGTACTGGGTCATGGCCTGATAGCTATCTGGGAAGACCTTAATAGAAAGTTAGGGAACCCCTGTGTGTGTTGATGGTGTTACTGTAGCTTTCAGTCACAGTGCCAGTTTTGTTTCAGCTGCTTTGCACTTCCCTTTTGTAATTTAATCAGCAGCCTTTCTGCCTCTCAAGCTCCACCTTTGGCAAGCCAACATGGCAATTAATTGGCTTATTAAATCCCTTCGCAATGCCCTATCGGCAAAACTATCAAAGACTAATCCTCCCTTTGTACAACAGTACTGTACGCAGCGCGAGAACAGAGCAGTGGACATAATCAGGGCTAAAAGTTGACAGTAAGACAAAGTTATTGTGCTGTAAAGTTATGGGCTAGGTGCAAGGAAGGTGGGGAGGCACGGATAACAGCAGTTGCTGCAGCCCAGGTGTATTTGCATATCTCATTTGGAAAGTGTGGGTGTAAGAGAGAGCAACCCCGACACCTATTTTCACAAATTGCTGAATTTGTTATTCAACCAGGTGTGTGCCAACAAGTGATGAATCTTTTGCCATTATCACCTCCATTCATTGTGTGTGTGTGCAGGTGTGTTTTATTTTTTGGGAGGGGGGGTGGGGGGTAGGCTAATTGGGGCTAATTTGTGAAATGACTGAGAGCGATAGATTATGCCAGGCCTGATCCCGCAACATTTGTCATTTTAGCGAAAGAGCAGCTATTTTAAATCCATCTCTGTCTGCCCAAATATCCAGCTAATCGATCTCTCATACAAACACATGTTATTTCGCTCACACACACAGACACACACCTGATGCATGCACGCGGATTAACATTTGAATCCATCACAAGTTGACTCATTTCTTTCAGTTTTCTGTCTTATACTTCTTATAACACTACAGACATTTTCATCTCTCTGTCATCAACCAAGGACGCAAAGAAGGTGACTAGCACATCATCAAACCATCTGGTGTGCGATAAATAGAAGGGAAAAAAAACGCGCACACACCACAGACAGAGAGTCCGTACTGACACTAGACTCCTAGGATGCAGTTAATGTTGTTACAGTGCAGACAGTTTTGGTTAATCCCAATTCAGCAGCAGCAGGAAGTGAAAACGTCTCAATGTGACCCCTCGTGTGTGCGAAGTATCATTCCAGACTATTGGCTCTCTCTCTCTGCCTGACTGCTCTTGGTGATGAGCATCAACAGTAGCCACAGGGAGCATAAACAGCCATCTCGTTTATTCCCCTCCGCTTCCTGGAGTATTCCAAAGCATCCGCGGAGGCACAGACTTTGGCGGTGTGCATCTTCAACTTTCTCTCCTTTGGAACATCTCCCTGAGAGGGCGATTTATTCTCCTCCGGGGAGGGAAGATGTGTCACCCTGCACGAATTGGATTGATAACGCTGGGCTAAATATAGCCCTGCGGCAGGAAGGAGGATATTTTTAGAAGTGTTTATAGTGCCTCGCCTTGGACACTACTTCAGCTGAATGACCCAATGGAAGTAAGAAAGGCGTGGGTGGGCACTAAACACTGCGACTCTCTCATTGAGAGATTACTGCACTTAGTGGGATTGTACAAAATGTGAGTGGATGAGTACAATTCCCGTCTAACTCCAAATGATCATCTATTCGGTTCAAAAATAAAATTAGTCCTCTAAAACATTTTCTGTTGACAGAAGTTTAGATTGAGTGGTTTCTTTGGCTCTACTGGTTGATTTGAGTAATGTATTGGCTTTCCGTTTACAACAGTCTCTAATCCATAAAACACACTGTGTTTAGAGCGCTGAGTATTTTAGTCTTCTCTCCTGCTGAAGTGCTCACTTCATTTTGGCTTCAGGCGGTGCTTACGTGATGCTATCAGATATCACATTGTTGTAAATTGAGTAGCGCTTTTACAGAATCTATTTTCCTTGCTTTGGAAATTTTTGATTTATAAACATGCTTTCTCGACATTTTTCCCTTTCATATACCCTCCAGCATGCATATAAAACCTTGGAGACACTTCTTTGTAAAGTGCTGACTCACTCTGAATTGATCCCCTGGGTGCTATGGGGTCTCCTACAGAGCTGATCAAGGGTATGTGCTAAATGATGTCCTTTTCTCAAGCCTGGAACTTATGCAAAATCGAAGCAACAACACAATACAAATCAACATTGATTGCTGGTCTTTTTTTTTTGGATCGCTGACTCTTCCCCTCCAGCAAAGATCATTTATGGAGTTAATTGATTTGTCCTGCTATGCTAATCTCTTTTGCTGCCAGCGACATGTTGAGCCATAAGACAGGTTCACATTGTAAAATCCACGAAAAAAACTCTGTCTTTCAGATCAATCGAGAATCCAGCTGAGATAAGCAACTTTTTCACGGCTTGTGGAAAAATATTGCTTTCTGTTGGACATTACTGGCTCAAGATATAGGACTGCTGCATGTTACATCATGTTGAATGGATGCTCAATCACTGTGGGAAAATAAATGGTGAATGTTTCTATCATCGCTATAATTGTTCATCACTATCCAATCACTATCCTCTGCTACCAAAAACCTAAAAGTACCCATCTTGTACCCTACTCAATGGGAGTTTCACCAAGAAGTAGTCTGCAGAGACATACAAAAAGCAACTGTTGTGTATAACTTGCGCAATACCCAAGACTGTATTAAACAAGTGGACTTCGTGCCAGGTCGGAAAAGGTACACCAATCAGAAATTCCTTAAACCTGCATTATTTTTAACGGCTAGCAGGGGGCTACTCCACTGGTTGCAAAAACTAGTCCCATTGTACAGAAGTTTATGAGAAAATCATCCTACCTCTCACTTGATTCATTGCCTCCGAAAAAAATGTATTCTCATAAAACTGAGTATGCTGAGTATGTTCAACAGAAACCTATCAATCCCGAGAGATGCTTATCTCTTCCCCGGTCCCCACGCATGTCCAAGTATGGTCACTTATGGCTCCAGAAAAGAAGGTGGCCACTGCCAAATTGCCTAACTCAAGGCTTCAAAGAAAAGTGTCCGAGAACAAATCGGCGTCAATGGGGCCATTTATACAGTCTATTGTTGTTCTCTTTAAAGACACGAAAAAGCCAAACTCACCTGAAGATAGTGGCAGGGCCTGATGTTGGGCTTGAGGTCGCTGGGTGTCATGGGTTTCTCCAGGTTGAGGGAGGACTTCCTGTAGGCCTCCTTGGCTTGACTGACCGTCAGCGTTGACCAGGAGCTCCTCTTCATGAACTTTCCCTCTGGCGCCATGCTGATGCTCTCGCAGGCTGAGCACTTGACATCGTTATTACTCTTGGATGTCTTGAGGGACAGGTCTCCAGCTAGGTGGCTATGTATCGAGTCAGGGTAGCAGTGGCCGATATGCTCCACAGGATGCCGTGACATGACGCTGGGTGTTCTGTATGTACTGTCACTATCCAGGTTGTCATCCGAACTCCACCAACCTCCTGAGCGCTGCTTGCCGCTTCCTTCAGATTTACGTTCTTTGCTCTTGCTGCGTTTGTTGTGTTTATGGTGGCCTTGGTGGTGGTGATGGTGGTGGTGCGAGTTGTCCCGCTGCGAGTCGCCTTTGGTACCGTTCATCTTTGAGGAACCTTCCAGTGAGTGCGATTTTGTGAAGAGCTTCTGTACAGAGTGGACTAAGTGGCGTATTCTCCCCGGGCTTTCGTTGCGTTGCTCCGTAGTCGTGGTTGTAGTGGAGGTGCGTTGGTATTGCAGCGTGTGGAAGCCATCCCGGTGCAGCGGCATCTGCTTCTCAAATTGGTCGAGGAGGTTTGCTGGGATTCTGTTCATTTTGCCGCTACCACCATGCGAGGACGATCCACCGTCATCTCGGGGGTCCCTGCTGCCAGAGTTGTTGCCCCCGCTTTCCCGTGTTGCGCTGCCGTAGTGCATGCGGGGGAAAGTGCTACTAGACATGGAATGGTCCGTGGCCGACATGGAAACTGGTATGACCATGCATTCAGAGTGGATGGAGCTCCGTGGGGAGCAGCGGTGGTGACTCTCAAGGGGGCAGCTCTCTGTGGGGCTAAGGAGGTAGGAGGGGGGGCGTGAGTTGCTATAGTGGAGGTGATGGTCCAGGGCATGGTCGTATTCAGCCAGGCCGCAGGTGTGGGCTGAGATGGGAGAGGTGAGCTGGAGCTGGGCAGGGCGGCCGCCAGAGAGACCCTTCATGTTCCTGGGTGGAGGGGAGTAGCTGTCCTCATCGAAGTACTGCGTGGGCGACCATGAATACTGCTGGTCTGAAAGACAGAGAGCGAACATTAGAGCTACCCTCGGGTAAAAAAAGCATTTCCCCTAGAAAAAGCAATCACAATTCACATTTAATGATGTGATAGTACCACATGACAAGTCCTCGGACAGGTTGGTCATTATGAACCTTACTCACACTCTCCTCATACACTTCAACCACAAAGGACGCGAAAAACCAGGAAAGTAGCACATCCGAAAAGTGAAATCAACAGATTGTAAGGATAAAAAATATGTCATTTTTTCCACCCTTCTATTCAGGTATGTGACAAAAATACGGCTAGAGAGACAGGGAAAAAAGAAAAGGCAGGCGACAGGTAGGAGCCCACATTGCCATTTATCCAATGCAAAGTGAAATAATAGCCTATCACTCCATGGTGCTTGTGTCATCCGTCAAAGCCCTGAGGAGAGCGCTGAGAGGCATACGGCGGGAGAGGTGTCCTTGGGAGGCGATCAGCAAAAACGCCCTCCCTCCCTTTCTCTCTGTTGGTAATGTAATCTTAGATTAAAACCCTATTCTGAGTGATCGGTCACCAAGGGCAGACGTCCCACCACAGTATACCAATGTATGTCACTGTAATTACAATGTCCTCCCTTTAAATCACGTCAGGGG